GCTGTAAGTTTGGATGGAAGCAGTGGGCAGACCCCGACAGGAAGTGGCCGGCGCTGTAAGTTTGGATGTAGAAAGTGGCAGTAGCTGGAGGGCATTGTGGGGTCTTACAATTGAGGAGATAACAGAACCTGCTGTGTGTTGAGGGAGAACACTAATAATAGGAAAAAAAGAGATCATGCCAGAGCGTGCAAACAGAAAGAGGGAAGGCCTGGAAGCAGTGGAGGCTGGTGCCCAGACCATAGGCACGGCCTGGCCTTTGAGAAGCGTTGAAAGAAGAGGGACAAACACAGGCACAGATGTGATGTTGTCTTAGTGAATTGAGAACTGAAGCCATCAGTTCAGAGGGAGAAAGATTTAGGGTGAGAGAAGTTGGAAAACAAATCGTTTATAAAGTAGGAAAACAGGCTTAATGGGGCTAGAATTTCTGGGTGGCGTTACGTTCCCATTTGAGAATAACTTCAGGAAAATCATCTGTCTAGTATTCACATTTTATTCAGCAAGCTCCAGTTGCTCTGTTGCCAACACAGGTAGAGAAATGGCAGGGCCTGGCCAGGGGTTAGAATGGTGGGAGAGAGAAGCAAGGAAGCTGAAGAATGTAAAGGAGTGATTATAAAGTGAAGTTAGGCCTAAGGAGAACAAGGGAGGCCGGTGGATAGTGCAAAAGCACAAGAGTCAGTGGATTTGAGGATTTGAGGTCACCAGCGTATCCCGGCTTTGCTGCTGTGGGTGGTCAGCAAGCAGCTGAGCTGGAGCCTGAGATGACTAAGTCAGGGGCATAGAGGTTGAGCTGTTGATGGTAATGACAATGACAGTTTATAAACTTGGGAGGAGGGGCCGTCGTGGAGTTGGGATGAGTTTGGAGGTGAGCTAAACAGAGTGGTGGGCCAGGTATTAGGTGGGACATCCACATGGATGTTGATGTTATCAAGAATGATGGCAGGAGATGGGGTGGGAAGCAAGATTAATCCAGGATCTTGAGAGTTTAGCTGCTAGCAGGAAGCAACGAAGGGCGCACTTAAGATTGAGGAAAGAACAGTTTAGCTGGATGGCGTAAACGTTAAAGAGGGGAAGGAGTTTTCTGAGTAGAGAATGGTCTGGAAGCAGCAGTGTCTAGAAGCACTAACTCTGAGGTTGGAGAGCTGTGAGATGGAACAGCCTTGCCTTGCAAGGGCTGCAGGGGAAGAGGCAGTATCATCAGCACAGGACCATTCAGCATAGAAGCAGAAGACTTGGAGGACTGTTGGTTCCAGGGGCACTGAGGGAAGCCTTGGTAGGGTGGAGGACTGGATTAGATCAAGATATACAGTAGGAGGGGATGAGAGGCCAGTGGTAATGAATGATGGAGGTTAACAGGGATGGGAGGCATGGTCAGACTGGTCCTGCTGACTTCTGGGGGCAGTGGGAAATGTCTCTGGCTCTGTGGGTTCAAAATACTTTCTGCAGGTGTTTGGCAACTCTCAGGCAGCTGATTCCTCTGCTGCCCGGGGAAGAGCTGATCCCCCAGCTCCCTGGGGTGCTGGCATGACCAGTTGGAGTATGGGTCTCAGCTGTCCTCCTTCATCTTCTCTGCTCATCAGTGCCTTCTTGAGAGGTGGTTTGGAAGCTGCCTCTTCAATATCATCATCAGGAAGTTTGGAAGGGCACTCCTTTGTTGACTTGTAGTGTCTGAAAGAAGTATCTAGCTTCCTTATCCATGCATTTGCAACCTTACAAAGATTAGGGAATTTTGCAGGTGCTAATTCTTTGTGCCTTCTGAATCAGAAGACTTCTAAGAAATGGAAAGAGTTCTTCCCCATGTTTCTCAATCCTTCAACACTCATGAATTTCATTATGTCACAACCTATACCAGAGACGGTGAGGCATGACTGAATCCTTCCTCAATGAAACGTCACATTGTAACATTTGAGGTCATTTCGGAAAAGGTTGTGATGAGCTTGAACTTACTTAGTTTGGCACATGCAGTGACCCCAAGGTTCGGGTCGGCACCAAGTTGCAAAGAGTGATCGTGTTATCTTGATGTCAGGGCCCTTGCTAGCTACTCATGCTGTGGCTTCTTTGAAGCCACATGCCGGGTTGAGTTTGATGGAGGCTATGGTGCCCCCTGGCCTGACACCTGAGAGTAGGGCACTGAATCTTTTACTTATCTGCTGCATCAGGTTGCAGGTGAGCTTGCACACAGCATGATAGATCGGCGAGAAAGCGTCCCTCACAACCTTGCACTCGATGGTAACATTACTCATGTTTTCGTAGTCAGGCATGCACCATGGTGCTATTTTGCCTTTCTCTCGAACAATCGGTCTGTCTAGCCTGATGAAGTCCTTCAGCTCCGGCACCAGATCGAACGTTGCAGTCAGCACTGTGAAAGTGACTGATACAGCACCTGCTATGGTTGGGAGTTTGCTTTTAGAATGGACACGATGCCGTACAGCATGCTGCATACGCATCTTGAGCCATGGGCAGAGCAACGACAGGCTCATCAGCTTTGTTGAGCTCTAGTGGCATGTTCAAGTGTTTCAGTCACCCTGTGTCTCATTGGCTTTGGTTACCAGTTAGGGATGTAGAATTAAAACCATCTGACCATGTACATTTTACCACCCTCTTTTCCATTAACCGTCCTAGTCAATCAGAATCAACACTGTACCCCCTTCTGCTGCAGTCACATGATCATCTGAGGCCTTGTGTTCCACCCCGCTTCCTCCAGAGAGAGAGAGGATTTTGAATTATATCCATGATACATAACTGCTTTTAATACACTTGCTGAAAGATACTTATCTTTGGTTTCTTTTTCTCCCCTTTCCCTAAGTGGGTTATGGAATTCCACTTTACTCCTCTTTCTTCACAGAGTGGCTGCCTTATGCCCTCTGGTTGTACCCTGTAGTTTCTTCCACTCTTAGAGAAAATGCTGGAGGCCCAGAATTAGGAAAGCTAGTTGGAAGGCAAAAATAAAATGAGTGATAATTACAGCTCATCCTGTAAGCGGCAACCATGTGGCAGAGTGTACTTGCAGACCACTCAGATAAAATGAGGCTAGAGCACCTCTGTGCCCAGAGGTGACGGGTCATGGAAGAGGTCACGGTTTCAGCACAGCAGAGGTGAAGTGACTTTGGCAGCTGCTGAGACACCACAAGTCTTGGATAAATAAGACATCAGCTTATAACCTTGCCAATCACTTAATCTTTACAAGCACAAATATTTATTAGAATGTCCATGAAAATGGACTTAGAGATGATTAATAAACAATAATATCTCATTACTTCATGTGAAGTGAACACTGGAACCTCTTAAGAGCATGTTTGTTACTTTCCAACAAGAATGTTGGCAGTTTCCAGGACAGAAATTTGGTGTCTTGTGTATGTGTTATTAAATATTCTGTTTATATATATGAGATAAGAGTATACATGCTGATCAAGCATGTATACTATGTGGATTGGGGGAAGTTAACAAGACAGTGGAGTGAGGACTAGAAGCCATGGGCCCATCTGAGGCCACAAAGGAAACTTGTGAGCATGCTTTATGGTCTGCCACTAACAGCAAAGGAAACACAAAATATATAACCTGGTCTACGTGTCAAAAATAAAAGTGGCATTGAAGCTTCTACTTACATACACTAAAAGTAAATTACTGTTTTATGCTAAGCGTTCTCTGTTGTCATGGGATAAAATTCAAACTTCTGAACTTGGCATACAGACGCCTGTGATTTTTAGCGTCTTCCATGCAGTTTCTCCTGCGCCTCCATGAACCAGGTTATCTTGGACCCGAGGTACATGCGCCTCCTCCCCCTGGGAGACTTCCTCACTCATCATTACCTGACCGACTTGTCAGGAAGAGATGCCTTTTCTACTCACCTTGCCTACCACCAGTCACTAAGCTAGGTTCCCTTTCTATGAGTGCCAGTAGAGCCCCATATTTACCTCCTGGTAAGTTTACATTTTGGGTGTATCACTCTATTCTAGTTTGATTTTCAGGCATTTGTCTCCACCAGGTAAACTGTAGACTCCTCAGAGATAGGAAACAGAGTCTTATTTGCTGTTATATAGTTCATGCTATAGTACCTAGCACATAACAGGCTTTAAACATTTGTTGAGTGAATAAATGAATGTTTTAAGGAACTATGGTATCAAATATAATTTCTAAAACTTTAGGACTTTTAATCATATGCTGCTACACTCACTATCTATGACTTTTGTTCAAAGGAGTATTTATAAACTTTGAGCTGTCCTGTCTCATGACCTCAACTCATCATCAGCAAAGCAATACCCACTGTCTTAGTCTGCTTGGATTGCGGTAACACAATACTGTAGACTAGGTGGCTTAAACAAGAGAAATATTTTCCACAGTTCTGGAGGCTGGATGGCCAACAGTAAGGAGTTACCTGATTCAGTTTCCGGTCAGAGCCCTCTTCCTGGCTTGCAAGTGGCCACCATCTCCCTGTGTCCTCACATAGCAAAGAGGAAGAGGGAGAAGAGAACAAAACTGTGTGGGTTCTCTGGCATCTCTTCTAAGGACACTAATCCTGTTGGATCAGGGCCCCCCCCTTATGACCTCATTTAACCTTAATTACCTCCTGAAGGCACAACTCCAAATATTGTTGTGTTGTTGGTTAGGGGGCTTCACATGATTTGGCGGGGGGAGGGTGCAGTGTAGTCCATAGCGCCCTTATTTAGGGAAGGGAGCAGGGCTCATTGCCCAGGTCCTTAAATCTTTCTGCCTCTATCTTACCAAGGTTCTTGAAGGCCCATTTCCTCATACATGCATACAACAGCTTTTATTAGTATCTTACGCTAAGAATACAACACACTTCTAATAGCATCTCACTTCCTAACTTAGGTGTCTGTATCAACTGGGGAAAAGTAATCTCGGCCGATCAATTTAGGACTTTGCTTTGGGCTCATCAAAAAGTCTTGTGCGATTTCTATATTGTATTTGTAGAAGAAGGGGACAAGGAGAGGGAAGGGAAAAAAAAGTGTCTTTCTTAATTTTTCAGAATTTGCTCTTTTCATTAAGATTCTCTGACAATTTTATTTCATAAGACTTGAATACCATATAGATTTTCAAGTACAGATTCTATAAATCAGGATCCTCGTGTCAGTCATAAATTGTATCACTGGAGGAGTAGCATGCTGGGCCTCCATAATTCCCAGGAAATACCTAATGTAATAGCATAAACCAAAATGACTAAAAAGCTGGTGATTTCATGAGCTAATTACTTTTCTCAGTAGCATAAGGGAAGAGGCCTCATTCTACTTGGATAAAATGCATTTTCATTGTGGAATTCAGCAGACGTATGCTAAAGGAACAAGATTACCTTCCTTGTCCCCTACATTTCCTGTTACTGGTGATGAGTTCTTTCAACATAAAATGTAATGAAAATAACTACTAGTTTTGTTCATTTAATCTTTAGAAAACAATTTGAAGAAATGGCCTCTCACTTTAACTCGTCTTCTGTAAATGAATTTGCTAAACGTATAACCAGTGCCACATCAGAAGAACGACAGAAAATGCTAAGGGACTTTTATGCTTCTCAGTATCCGGAGGTAAAAGAATTTTTTGTGGATTCTGCATCAGAATTCAACAATTCTGCCGTTGAGAAAGGAGAGCGCATCAGAAAGAAATCTGAAAAAAGAAAACCTGTTATAAAAGCAAGGCTGTCAGATTCTGAAACCTTGTCGTTTAAAGATTCTACCAACAAAACTTCTCAAATTGGCTGTCCAAAAACATATAAGGGAAAGTCAGTTAAGTTTCAAAATCGTAGTTCTTGTAGAGAAGAGGTATTTTCTGATGATGCAGAAACTAAGAAATCACCTATTAGTTCTACTCAAGAGATTGACAGTGGAAAAAACAGCCAAGCATCTGAAGGTACTGTGACATCCCATTCTCTGAACAGCGAGTCTGAAGCACGTGAGAGAAGGTTTCAAAATACCGTGAAAGACCAACGGGACCTCACAAGAACGGGTGTTTCAAGAAAAGAACCCCTTCTCAAATTGGAAAACAAAAAGATAGAAAATCCTGTGCTGGAAAAGACTTCTGTGATGAGCTTACTTGGTGATACCTCTATTCTTGATGACCTTTTTAAAAGTCATGAGAACAGTCCCACACAACCGCCAAAGAAAGTTCTTTCAGGGCCCATGGAAAAAGCACAACAGAGACCAAAAGATTTCTGGGACATCTTGAATGAGCAGAATGATGAGAGTCTTAGTAAACTCACAGACCTGGCGGTAATAGAGACTCTGTGTGAAAAAGCACCTCTAGCAGCACCCTCCAAAAGGAGAGAAGAGCCAGCAGCTTCTCTTTGGAAATCAAATGAGAAATTTTTATGGAAGAAGTTTAACTCAAGTGATGCAGATGAAAACACAACCAATACACAGAGTACCATATAAGGATTTAGATGAATTACGGTACCAGTGAATTGCTGCTGTCACTGTCTACGGCACTGTATTCCACACTAATTATCTTGAACACAGTTATTGACATAGATTTTTATGAAATTCTTGCTTTAGGATTTTTTAAAGTCTAAAGTATTATCATGGATTTGTTTTTCTTGATATTTGGTCTTTCAAGAATATAATTGTATTTATAGTATAAACCTCTGTTATGAAATGGAAAAGATTCTGTGTTTGTTAGTAAGAGACCTGGGACATCTTTCTTCTTGTATTACATAATGATGTGACACTTGCCCTGGCGAGCATTGTTTCGCAGTATGAAAGATGAAGGGTCTGAATGAAATCAGCGTGAGTGCCCTTCCAGTTTAAAAAAGCTTTGCTCCGCTCTCCCTGTGACTCACTGGCCGAATCATGTCCACCCTCAAATCCGGTGTACACTGATGTGTTTTTTTACTAGCACTTGGGAAAGTTATTAGGTGTTTTCTTTTTCCCTGGGTATCATATCTATTATTATTTTAGAAAAAAGTCATAATTAGTACTAAATATATGATATATATTGTATATATGGTCTTAAAATAGTAATTTTGCAACAGCTCAGAATTTAAAGGTTAATGTTAAACATTTTACTGTATGAGATGTGATTACTACCATTAGCCACAGACACCAGTGCCTCAACTTTTTATATACCTATTGTGATTTAATCAATATAAATAAAGGTTTGTATAGTACTTTTGTAGTTCTTAAGTATGAAGAAATGACTATACTTTTTATTTTGTTAGAAACTGTTATATTTTGAATTTAATTTATATGGTTTATAACAAAATGAATGTGTTCACTGTTGAGTGCATGTATTTAGAAGCTTTCACTCAGCCCCTGTATTCTGTGCTAGGAGCTTGATGTACAGGTCAGGCCCATACATCAGGTCATCAGTGGTTGGACCGTTCCTACAGGTGAATGAAAGGAAATCATGTCAGTGAAAAATCACAGAAAGCCCCTGGCGTCCTGCGTGCACGCTGTAGGGCAGGACCTGAGCTGCCTCTGCTGCGGGTTCAGATGCACCACTGAGCTGTCCTTCAGTGATCTCACAGGGCTGCGAGTGAAGGATGCATCCTTCCGGAAAACGGCCTGAGCCGGGAACTGGCTATGCTACAGAGCACTGCTACCGAATTGAGAGAGGGCTTCCGTGTACCAGGACGTGGAGTCATCGCTCAGAAGTGGGAAAAAAAGAACCAAAAAAGTCTTCCCAAGGGACTGATTGGCCAAGTATGCTTTTCTTTAAAGCAATGTTTTGCCCTAGAGAACTGTAAAATACATTTTATATCATGACTCAGATTACATGTGTTCATACACATATATATGATTGAAATAAAATGTTTATGAAATATTTACTCATCAGCATGTGACATACTTTGTCATTTTTCTCTTCTAGGAATGTGTTTGGTAGGGTGACGGGTTTGTGTGTGTGAAAGCTCTCACAGCCCACTGAATTGAATTTCACGGCCCATGATTAGGAACCACAGTGTGAAAACACTGTTGTAAGTTACATAGAATTTATTTGCACAGCCGACTTGTGTCCAGGCTTAGCAGATGCTACGCTTTGCCATTGAGGGGCCCTCTACACAACGAATGCATGATATAGTTTGTGATAGACTTGATTGTAGATGCTTTCAGCCTACAGTACGATCAGCTACCTGAGGAATACTGATAAGTAGATATCACTTGATTTCAGTTTACATACTAGACAATGTAGTTCACACATTAATACGTTGTAAATAGTGATATTCGTGTAAATATTAGCTCTATACTCTTCACATATGAAGAAGTACAGTTTTGTTTTGTTCTGTTTTGTTGAGATGGAGTCTTACTCTGTACCAGGCTGGAGCACAGTGGCATGATCTCAGCCCACTGCAGTGTCCACCTCCCAGGCTCAAAAGACTCTCATGCCTCAGCCTCCTGAGTAGCTAGGATTACAGGTGTGTACCACCACGCCTGGCTTTTGTGTGTGTGTATGTATTTTTAATAGAGATGGGGTTTGGCCATTTTGGTCAGACTGGTTTCCAACTGCTGGCCTCTCAAAAGTGCTGGGATTGCAGGTGTGAGCCACTGTGCCCGGCCAAGAAATGCTATTAAAGAAACTTTTAATAGTAGTAGTCAAAAATGGGAGCGAAAATGCATAACTGGAGTTTAAACGTTAGTTTCCAACAGTGGTCAGTGAAATATTTATCGCTGTTATCATGTAGAGAAGTGTGACAGGTGGAATGCAGAGTCCAGAGTCCAGTATGAAAAGGAGCCCAGCTTTTCAGAAGGAAGCTGTCAGGTGGCGTGGACTCCTGCCATGGAGTGATAGAAAGATTTGGTTCAACCATGGATGACCTGAGAACAGACACTAGGAAGGTGTGACAAGATTCTTCCTACCCCCACTCCACTGGTGATGTGTCACCAAGTTCTGCCAACAAAGTGAGCGGCCTCAAGCAAATCCCTTACCTTCTTTTAACCTTAGTTTCCCCTTTAAATTGGTGATGGATTGGATCAGTGGTAGTCAGCCATTTTTTTTAAAGCAACTGAACTGTATCTTAATCAGAAACTTAACTAGTAAAACAGTTAAAATGGAAGTCTATTGATTCAGGCAACACCACTGTGGCTCCATGGAGCACTAGTTTGAAAACCACAGGCGTGAGATCATTGCTAAGAAAACCTTCCAACTTCGAGTTTCCATGATTCTACTTGCCACAATCTTTTTTTTTGACTTCTTTTTAAAGCAATGATACCGTTTCTGGCTGAGCACTCACCACACAGCTATTAATATTGGAAACTGAGGCAAGAGACCAAGAGATTTTTGCACTTGAATTCCTCAGAATTTCCTTAAAACCCTGAAAACACCTCTTCAAGGAAATAACATCTGTAAGTGGTACAGCTGCCCCTAAGTATTCAAGGCAAAGAAGCCTTAGTTTGCAGAGATGATGATAAATGTTTCATTCGTCCACAGAAAATGAGAAAGCCACGGGAAATACAGGGTTATTTTCTAATTTAAGTTCAATGCGTGCAGTTTTTAAATTCTGAAGTTATCCCTCCTTTATGATACCAAAATAAGCCTCTTTTGTGAACTGATGGTAGATCATAGCTTTTAGTCTTTTTCATTGTCCTTACATAAAAGTTGGTAATCAGCTGTCAGTCCCAGAAGATTTATTTGAGACTTACTGGTCTGTAAAATCCAGAAGAATGGGGATCACTGCCTGCCTTAAAGGTTTTTGTGTTGTTTTTTTTTTAAACATGGAGAGTTTTTATGTCACAAATCCAGCTAACAGTGGATCTAGACCTCACCAGTTTGCAAAGCATCCTCTGCCCAGTGCTTCTGGGAGCCTTACTGGGATGGTTCATAAGCCACTTTCCTCTGGGTAAAAGCCCTTGTACACTGTGGCATGTACGGCTGGCTCCACTCGGTGTTTGTTGCAGGAGGGAAGAACATCTCACTTTTGCTTGGCTAAAGGGCCACCCCAGTTTGCCTCATAGGGTCTTACCTGGTTTCACTATGAAAACAGTGCATCTGGTATTTTTACTCTCTGCCCCTAAGAAGAGAAACAGATCACCCTTCCTTCCCAAGTTCAAGGCTGTGTGGTTAAGAGTAGCAAATCAGAACCCCCGGCGGAGGCTTTTGAGCATGCAGATGTCCAGGGTCCTCGCCAAGAAACTCTAAATCAGGATGTCTGGAGCTCAGAACAGGCACCCTTTTTGTGTTTGCAGTTTCACGGTAACTCTGACGTGCCAGTGCTTATCTGAGGTTTGTAACTGAGCAGGACTCAGCTGCCTGACCTGTCCCCCAGGGACACACTATTTCCAGAGATGTGCTTCAGTTGCCCCACCACGACGTCCAGCAACCCCCATCCGTACATACGGCTGAGCTCGTGATGGAGCCCAGTGTGTGCTTTTTGTTGTTGTTACATTCCTATAAAAATACCCACACATATTCATACATCTGTATTCATAGTGGCATTATTCACAACAGCTAAAACAAGAAGAAGGCATTCCAAGTGCCTATCGATGAATCCTAGCACTTTGGGAAGCCCAGGTGGGTAGATCACCTGAGGTCAGGAGTTCAAGAAAAAAGGATTGGGAAAAAATTCACACATAGCATTTTTTTTTTATGAGACAGGGTCTCACTCTTGTCACCCAAGCTGGAGTGCAGTGGAGCCATCATAGCTCACTGTAGCCTCCACCTCCCAGCCTCAAGGGATCCTCCCACCTCAGCCTCCCAAGTAGCTGGGACCACAGATGTGCACCACCTTGCCCGGCTAATTTTTGTATTTTTTATAGAGACAGGGTTTCGCCCTGTTGCCCAGGCTGGTCTTGAACTTCTAGGCTCAAGCAATCTGCCCACCTTTGCCTGCATTGCTTTTCTGTTATACTTGATATATTTTATTTGCTTTGCTGCAGGTTAAACTATGATGGTTGTATTTATTGCTGAAGTGTCTGCTAAGACCAATCTTAGTTATATCAATATGGTTGGTACCTTTCTGTCATGGACAGACATAATACCCATCTGACATTCCTGGGTTTAGTGCTGTGTCTTGTAGATAAAAATCAAGAATGCCTCTTTCTACAGATACCTTTTTCATTAGCTAAAGGCCTCTCAGTCTCAAAAGAAATAACTCACTTTATATTGTTTCAGTTTAACTGGTGGGGAAAAATGCGTGCAGCTCTGAATTTCTAATACGTCTCTAAGGAAGCTCCAGTGAGTTGTCTTGTCAGACTAAAATGTCAATTATTGACCTCCATACATTTTTTAACTTAGGATTTTCCTATTTTGTAAAGTGGGACATGTTTCTGAACTGAAAAACTTCAAAAGAAGCCTCCTAATAGCTAATTCATATTTTTTTCTTCTTTCCTACAACTATTATAAAAGCATTAATAGGAACAAAAATTATTCTTCAAAACATAAATGCCAGAATGCACCCTATGAGAACCCCAGCCACCTCTGCTCGCCTCCCAGTGTTGTGCTCCAGTGTTCTGCTTTCTCTTCCTCTGTCCACTACTCACTGCTCTCTCTCCCCACTGCCAGTACCTAAGTGGCCTTCCTTCACCTATGCCTGGCAAAACCCCAGGTTCTTTCCATGTCACCTCTGACTCCTCAATCCATGCGTCCCTCTCTCAGCCTCATGCTCACCAAGCTCAGTGGAGCCTCAGTGCCCTGCCCAGCGTTCCCTCCTCAGGCAGCGCTCCCCCTGTCCCAAGACCCTATCACACCTTTACCCTGTTGGGACCTCCTAACTCCCCCAGCTCCCACTACTCCACGTGCGGGGTGTATCAGTCTGTTCTCACGCTGCTACGAGGAAATATCCAAGAAATACCTGGGTTAAGTTATAAAGAAGTTTAATTGGTTCACAGTTCCACATAGCTGGGGAGTCCTCAGGAAACTTGCAATCATGGAGGCAGTTCATGTGAAGAGGGAAGAACAGCACCTTCCTCACAGCTTGGCAGGAGAGAATGAGCGCCCAGGGAAGTGGGGGGAAGTCCCTTAAGCCATCAGATCTCCTGATAACTCACTGGCAGGAGACCAAGGTACCTCCACCTGGTGCCGCCCATGACACGTGGGGATTATTACAAGGTGAGATTTGGGTGGGGACACAGAGCCAAACCATATCAGGGCAATATGCCTTCAGCAGGTGGAGAAGATGGGAGGACTTGTGAAATACACAACTGAGATGCTCCAGAGGCCAAATCATTGGGCAGTCGTCCCAAGGACAGCAGTTAATTCACTGACATGGCAGCAAAGGGCAAACCCAGTCAGCCCCATGGAGCCCAGGTAGGGGTGCCGCTCACCTAAAATGCCCTCAAAGACCCCTTAGGGCACGGCCATGTGCTGGGGCGTGTTGGGGTGAACAAGCAGGTCTCGGGACGCTTAGAATGACCCCTAGGTGGGCGCTAAGGGACAAGACCCGCCGAGAAACGCAGCTGCAGATGATGGATGCTCTCCCAACGGCAGGAACAAGGAAGGCTTCTGCAGCTCAAAAGGAGAAACATGTTTTGCACTGGAATCATCAGAAATGGCCACTTACAAACAGGTTGGGGAGTGGCCAGGCCTAAGAGAATGGGAAGGCTGAACACCCCTCCTCCAATGTCCCTTGGCGGTTAAAACCCCAGAGGAGCAGGAACGTGGGCTCTTTGGTGCGGAGGTTCGTGGTTTGGGTTGGCCAAGCATAAAGCGCTTCTGACACTTCACC